GGTCTTCATTTTTCTTCTAACAGCTGCATCCATCTCTCTTTAACTTGCCTGCCTCACTTAAGCAACAGATCAGCTAGTCTAGTATATTTAGACTGATTACCCTTATCAGTTAGTATCTTGAGAAAGACTGACTCTGAGCAAGGTAGGAGAGCAGATTTGGGTTGGTTAGGTTGCCTTGGCTGTAGCTGGTTATTAAAGTGGCTACATCTAGTATATTACTAAAAATACAAAATCTGAAAAACTGTGTTGGCATACCCTGTTATCATGCATGCAATACTCAAGTGTCAAAATATAATGTTAAGTACTAAGCAATTTTTGACTGTGTGCATGTGGTAGGAATTCAGTGCATTTTATGTTCCAGTTTATGACCAGAAATTAAAAAATGAGTTCTAGTATTGTATTAGGCCAATTCTGGACACAGTAGAGCTTTTACCTTTAATTATACAGCTGCTTTAATAAGAATACTGGGTAAAAAAGAGAGAAGGTGGAAATTGTTGTCCTTTCAGTGCCTTCAGAACAAGGACTGAAGAACATGTTAATTATGGAGTTGTATTGTACATAGGTTGTCCCTGGTACTTAGGAACAGGCATTGAAGTGTACAGTTAAGTTGTCTTTATCTGAAGGTGCGGGTAGAACACAACAATGCAGATCTGATCCTGTGTGAAACTTGTTTGTTTGTTTGGTTATTAGCTTTCCTTGTAAGGCTACAGGGAGTCAGAGTTCACAAGGTAATTTGAAAGCCTTAAGAAATCTCTTAGCAGGCCTGTTTGTGCTGTTGGACAACTTACATCATCTCAGTTGGCCAAGTGCAGTTTTTTTTTTTTTTTTTTTTTGTCCCCTCCCCCGTCTTTATCCAGCACTGAGGAATTAAACCACAACAGTGTCCTTCTCCTTTCCCTGATTTTTTTGGGTTTCTTATTTTCAGTCACTCTGGGTTTTCAATTTTTTTCACTGCTGTGTTAGTCTCTGGAGTTAAAACACAGGTTGTTATCTGCGTGATTTTGATTGTGTTACAGAAAATCTAATCAAAAGCAATACTGGCAGTCCCTTCATGAATGGATTTCCTGTGCTTTAATCTTCAAAACCATAACTTTTTTTTTTTCTTGGTAGCAGTAGTAAAAATAAACAGCTTTTCATGAAGTGTTTCCCTGTGTCACCTTCCTTGGTTTGCGATTAAAAAACTGAGTAGGTCAAGTCTTTATTTGAAAGCATGGATGACAACTTTCTGGTTATAGTTACTGAGCTTTTAGTTTTGAAAATCAGTTCTGTTTCCTCTGTAGAATTCAGATATTGCTATGACAACTGTACTTCTAGCTCTTCAGAATCATGTTGGTAAGCTACAGTTGTGTTAAGTTTAATGTAGGGATGATGTGATGAAAAGAGGGCTGGAATTATGCTGATGCCACATAGAACAGTAATTCTCAAACAATTGTGTTTTACCATATGGAGCCTTTTCTGGAAAATTTTAAAACAGAGCACTGAGAATCATCTTTGAGGAAGTAGCAGTGGGTGGTCTGTAGAAGGAATTCATTATAAATGGTCTACATAAAATTAACTTGTGGGAATTGCTTTTCCAAATCTCATTTAGGAAGATAATTTTGAGTTCACTTGGAATAACTCAGTTCCTGTTGGGGTTTTTGGTGATCTCCCTAATGTAAACAATGCATGCTTTGAAAGGTGGTGTCGCATTGCTCTGCTAGTACTGTCTTCTGTATTTTATATCTGTATAAATTTTAGCTGACTTGGCTAATGCTCTTGTCTGCTCATTTAGGGAAAATGAGCTATCCCTTAGAACAGTTCTGCTTGAAACTTAATGCTATGATGATACTTTGTAATCTTTTGTTGTAAAAGTATTGTTTCTTTCCCTTGCTCTGTGTATTTATCTGCCTGTAAAGAACCCGATGAAGAAAGGGTCCTTTTTCTTTAACATTTTGGAAAGATCTTGGTGTATAGCAGTTACTGTGGTTAACAGATGACATTACCTAGGAATGTAAGGTTTGGTTGTTTTCCCTTGTCTCTACCAGCTTCCTTCCATTATCATTTGAAGTATAATTGATCCTTAAGGAAGATGTTAGGTGGTAAATCCTCTCCTTGCATTGTGTTCTCTTTTAGTACTGTAACATTGCTTACCCCTGGTTTTGGCTTCTGGTATTTTCTAGACTCTTTGCATAAAAGACTTGCTTGGTATAGGATAGGAAGCTGTAAAGCAGCTAAATTAAGTTATCCTTTGTTTTGCAAGTTGTTCAGCATGGGTGTAGAGCATGTATCTAAACATAAAATGATGGTGCTGTTGTATGTGTTAGACTGGGGAGAGAGGGGACACGATACAAAGGGACTGTATCCTGCCTCCATTTTTTCCAATATTTGAGGTACTTTCATTTCAGTTTTTATTCAAAACAGACTTTTCTTTCGTAGCATTTTATTTTTTCATTTTCTACTCCCTTCATGTCTACAAAACCATCCATCGATGGCGGTTTTCTTTTGGAAGTAGTGATGAAGAGATTGCTTAAGTTGTGTGATGATGTTGTTTGTGAATTTAATTGCCGGTAATGCAACATGAACCATTGTGTCACATGAATACATTTAAAGTCCTTCAACTTTCTGATTGTCTTTGACACCTTTCATAAATGCTTCATTACCATTGCAGATGAAAACCTTCTCTGTTGGCAGTCAGGTTACACAGCATAATTTAACATGTGATTAAACTCTTCAAAACTGTTACAAACCTAACTTGGTATAAATCAAACAAATAGTCCTTTATAGTTGTATGTCATGGGTGAAGTTGTCATATTTAGGTAGTTCTTAACTTTCTCAGCACAGATAAGCATTTTGTTTCTGAAGTTTTGTATAGTGCATATGACCAGGGTGCACTGCACTGCACTAGAGACTGCATACACACTAGTGACAAACTTAAACAGCTGTTATGCTGAATCTTAGAATTTTGTATTGTATTTTAAAAAAGGATAAAAAAATTTACTATAAATTTTTGTGACCCGTGAAAGACTGCAGAAATACCATTTTGGATAATCCAGATTATTAGCTGAGACACTCTGTTCGTTTAATGTACTCTGGGGGACTGGAGAAAAACAAATAGTACCCCAGACAGTGCAACCGCTAAAAACTTTCTTACAAGGTGAAAAATGTGGTGTCATGACATAAGGCAGACATTGGTATGTCAGATTATATTTTTCTTTCCTAAATTAGATGTTAAGCACATTGGAAACTCAGTAGGAGCTAGGAGATTCTGCCTCAGAAGTGATCTGCAATGGATCGTTGCATGATAATATGCCATTGTGTGAGGCAGTGGCCCCCTAAACCTTGGGAAAACAAAACAAAAAGCGATGCCTGAATTGTGTGTGAGTATGTTACTGTGTGGTGGTTTTAATGATTTCCAACGTTGCTGTAAGAAGAAGATATTACTATTAGTGTCAATGTTATTGAACTGTTGTATTTTGCTAGCCTAGCAGAATATGCTAGACTATATAATTTTGGTTTACTTTAATACACTCATTCTAAGATAAATTAGTCTGGTTGCTGCTACACAAGCAGCAGAATTGTCCGTATGCAGAGGTTGACAAGAAAACTGGAGTGGGAGCTGAGCATTGTGATTTAAGATAAAAATGAAGAGAACTGTTGGAAAAAAAACCCTGGCCCTTGATGCTTCTCTCCTAGTGCTGTTCCAGTGCCTTGCAGCATTACCTTCAGTATCTGGTCATGTGTAACCTTTGCACTATGTGTTGCTGATACTTAAAGCATTTTTGTACTGAAGTACGGACTTCAGATTGCAGTCCTGAAAAATTTTGCAGGAAAAAGTCTGTCTTTGTATGGCAAAGCATTTTTATACTGTAGAATGTGCTATTTCTAGAAAAAAAATGCATCATCAGAGAAAACACCATGTCTCAGTAAAAAGTAAAGTTCGTGAGCATGATGTTGAAATATTTTTTGACAATGTGATTGGAGAAGATTTCAGAGTTAGCCTTTGTAGTTGTAAAAATATTCTGAATGTCTGTTGATCGTGATTATGAAATTGTCTTGGGACAAATTGCTCTAGAACAACAAGGGTGCAAGTGTGAGGGGACTTGAATTGCCAGTTGGGGTCTAAATGAAGTAGTTTCACTAAGTACTGTTGAAGCCTTTGGTCCAGTTACTGCCAAACATTGCACATAATCTTCCAAATTTTCTATATTTTATCTCTGTCTCATTTTCTTTTTGATGTAACTTTGGAATTATTCTGTGAAAGAGCTCAGGTTTCATGCCTTGTGGAAAAAAAATGCATATTCCTTGCAGTTTTGTCGTTTCTCATGGTGACTTTGAAGAGATTGAAATCTTGGGTTTGTTTTGTTTGTGGTTTTTGGGTGGTGGGTTTTTTATTATTATTTTTTTTTTTTTCCGAAAAAATACTTCCAAGGTGAGTTAGTTCTGTGAAGTTCAGGATTTCTTTTTTAAAGTTTTTTAGTATATCATGGGAAATCTTAAACAAAAGAATAGTGTAACACAATGTGAGTAAGCCAGATCTTTAATAGCTCTTGCTCCTTTGAAATATAGGACCACTTTTCTCCTTAAGTACCTTTCCAAGTGTTAGTACCTTTATAATTACTGTTACAAGTACATTTACTTATGGCAGGTTGTTGATTCAAGGAGTGGGGGAAATGAAGAGGAAAACCCACCAAACTTGCCACTGTTTGTAAATGCACTTTGTCTTGACCATCTCAATTACTAGCAAGTTAACAATACACAGAAATGAAAATAGTGCACTAAGAAGGAGTACGATAAAGGAAATTATTTGTATGGTTGTGTGTGCCATAAGGAGTACTACCAGACTTTATTTTTCCACAGGAAATCTTTTAATGTTGAGTTTTTTTGTAGTCTATCCTCAGTCTTTTGAGGATGTTCAGCATTGCAGGATCAGGGTTCTTCTTAAGGGAAGAAGAAAGGAAATATAAATAACTTTTTTTTTTTTTAAATTTAAGCTAAATAGATTTTTCTTTGTTTAGCTTAGAGCAATAAATGTAGATCTCCAGACTGATGCTGCTCTGCAAGTGGATATCTCAGATGCACTCAGTGAGAGGGACAAAGTGAAATTCACTGTACATACAAAGGTAAAAGCCTGGGTTTGTATTCTGAACATTTTTCTTAGTTATACATTGAAAAGAAAGTTTGCTTAAACTGTTTCTTGAAAAAAGTTTAACACAATCCAAAGATAATGAGAAAGTAGCATTATCTCATGTTTAAGAGACTGTAGCTGCAGTGCTTAAGAAAAAGATGGCTATAAAGTTAAGAGGTTAAAAAACTACTCAGAAAAAAAAGTGTTCAGTTTTTTGTACTGATATGCTGTGATGTTATTCCCATGCTTATTAATTGGCCTGTTTGCAGGTAGAATCTTTAATATACCTCAGTATTCTTCAGTATAGTGTTTTATTAGATCAGCCATGGTTTCAGATTCTAAAAATATATTTCGTAATGGAATTACATTAAAGAATCATTTTTAGTTACTGCTTGTTTATGGCTTTTCTTCATTTTTTTTAGATTTGAATGCTTATTGATTACAGAATCACAGAGTAGTTGAGGTTGAATAAAATTTTTGGAGATCATTTGGTCCCATCCCCTCCCTCACTCACACTGTTAAATCAGGGTGAACCAAAGCATATTGCTCAGGACTTATCTGTTTGGGTTTTGAGTATCTCCAAGGGTGGAGACTCCACAAGCTCTTTGGGCAACCCCTTCCAGTTGATTGCACTAATTAAGATGGGTGTAATTGTTGCTGTACACACTTTTTTTTTTTTTGGTCAAATCCTTACTTGGATGATTGGTTTATTTTTACAGGGATTTTTTTTGTTTCTTTCTTCAAGGCGTTTTTCGTATAGTAATAAAAAACATTGTGGGGTTTGGGGGTTTGTTGGTGTGTGGTTTTGGCTTTTATTTTTTTTCATTGTTCTTCTTTTCCTCTTCTAGAGTTCCTTACCAAATTTCAAACAAAATGAATTTTCTGTTGTCCGGCAACATGAAGAGTTTATTTGGCTTCATGATTCTTTTGTTGAAAATGAGGACTATGCTGGCTATATTGTAAGTATGACAGCTCTTATGGTTTATGTGCACTGTTTTCTGTGGACTGTATCAAAAGTACTTGTGACTGCTTTTAAGCACAGTGGCAATGGCAGATTTTTAATTTCTTCTAAAATCACATCAGATGCTCTAGTACTTCATTCTGTGCAATTACACAAAATGAATGGTTGAAGCAAGCTTGGAGGAAAGTTACTGTAGTTGTCATAGTTTCTTGCCTTTCACTCCTAAGGAGTGAGTAGTTTAATCTGTATCCAAGTGTATTTTCAGTCCACTGTGTTAAAAGTGTGTGAGACAAGTGGACTGTATAAGTTGGTGGTATTGTTTTTGCAAGCTAATGTTTAACTTAGTTACAAGTTTCATGTTGTCTTTATTTTGGCTGGAATGTCAGAGCGAAGTAACTGAGCTTTAGTAATTAGACTTTTCCAGTTTTCATTATGAAGATCAGAATAATTTTACCATAAGTTAGCTGGAGGGGAAAAAAAACAGTGCAAATAGCATCTAGAACTATAGAGAACCTTAATACATGACTTGTGTTTTGAAGTTTATTTCAGGCTTCCAGGGAACAGAGGTCCTGAAATAGTTACCGTATGATACTGCCTATTAAAAATGAGTGCTGCTGTTCATACTTTGATTACAAATAGGAATATTTGTCATCTTGGTATAAAAGCTAGGTATTAGTTTTATTTTTGTGGAGATGTTTACTGATTCAGAAGGTAGACATATTTCAAATTGACTAGGGGGTACATTATTATGAATATAATCTGTGATGTGTCATACCATTCTTGAGCTAGTCTTTTTTTAGGTCAGAAAAGCTATTTGAAGTGACTAGATCATCAGTGTGATAATAACTAGTTTCAGACGGTTGACTGCGTAGATGCTGGATTTTTCTTTTTTGTAAAGCATTAATGTAATGGGCAAATACCAGTCAACTCAAATTTAAGCATAACTTAGATTTGTTGCATGTCCCTGTATGAATAGAAATTCAGGATTAGACTGTGATGTTTTCTCTTTCAACGTTAATATACTATATTGCAAGATTAACCTAGAGACTTTTTTACTGTGTGCTTTGTTATTTTGACAGATGTATCTTTAATGTCAGCAGTGCTTCAAGAAAGAACTAGTGCCTGCAAACAATATGGAATGATTTTTTTGTTTTGGTTTAAAGTTTTGGGGAATTATAAACGGATGGTGTGAAAACAATTGTGGAATTATTTTTTTTTTTTTTAAAACCAAGAAACAATCCTTACCAAATAAGCTAAAACAAAACTGATTATACAATAATTATTTCAAGTTTTAATTCATTGTATTGTGAAAGCTAGGTATTATTTGGTTTCTGTTGTAATTAAATTACTGAAGCCATTAGTTAATTCCTTAGTAGTCTTCAAGGACACTTGGCCAAAATTGGTATAGTAATGCAGCATGTCTAACTCATTCATGAGAGAATTTATCCATAAATGCTGTAATGAATGATGAAAGAGAGAGCCATATATTAAAAAGCTGGAGGCAATCTACACTTCCTGTACTGAATGGATGTTATTTGACTGAGAAGATGAGCAATTAAAAAAAACTTGATTCTTTTCCAGATTCCACCAGCACCACCCAGGCCTGACTTTGATGCCTCAAGGGAGAAATTGCAGAAACTTGGAGAAGGGGAAGGATCAATGACTAAAGAAGAATTCACCAAGATGAAACAAGAACTGGAGGCGTATGTAGACTTGATTACTATTTTTTTTTCTAATCCCTTGACTTTTAATGCTGTTTGCTGTCCCACATTTCTGATTTCACTGTAATGGTTCTCTGTGAGATATAAGCTTGAGAATCCAGTTGCTACATAATGAGGGTTATCTTAGTGATCATGATCAGAGCCATTAGGAAAATTGTAGCAATATTTTCATGGAAGAGCTTCTCAAACAGGAAAAAAAATCAGCTTGTTCTGGAGAATTCTTTTATGAGGAAAAAACTAGTTAGATCCTTTTCTTTACAGAACACCTGCAAAAGGAGGAGGTAACCTCCCTCTTTTTTGGTTCTGGTGTTCCACATTTTATAGGCATAATGAAACTTCAAGGTTTATGTGCAGTGATTGAACTAGGGATTTTTGCATGTGGTTGGTACTGTAAACAAAGATGCCAACCTTCTGTTCCAACAAAAATGGAGATTACTAGAAAATACTTATTTTTTTTGACACTGCTTTTTTTTTTTTTTTTGCACAAGGAGAATATACTTCTTGAAAATAGCATTCTCCCTTCCTGCGAATTTAATGTGTATTGAAATATCTACTCTAAGGCTTTTTGTTCCAACTTGAGTTACATGGTGAAGTTTCTCCTTGCTTCATCCACTTCCCTTATCATGCATTCACTTCTTTGATCTTTTTCCTGTCATTGGTTTCAGTTTTCAAGTGTATATTTACGCTGCTTCTAGACTGCTTCGATCAAGAGCTCTGAATTGGCAAGAAAAGTACATAGAACTCTTAGAACTGCTGCTTTCTCTCCGAACTCCAGCTGCTGTGAGCAAATGTCTTGAAAAGCTCTGTATTAGTGTTGTGTACAACATAATTTGTAGCAGAGTAGATATACACTTTATATGCAGAAAACTGGAAATTATCAAAACACTATAGTTTTTAAAGAATCTGTGGTTTTCCAGCGGCCCTGATCATGATTCTCTTGTGGTCTGGTTAGGGGTTGGATAACACAGAAAACTTTGGGTTTCTTCTACTGCCACCTCCATCCTCTGCATCCTCCTTTTTTGTCTTCACTGAATGACTACTACTGTCACTGAGATCAAACATCTCCCAACACTGACCCTGCTGGTTTGCTGGTATGTAAATCTTAACCTCCTTGCACATAGTGGAAGCAAAAATGTTGATTATCATTTCACCATTTGGCCTCAGAATGGGGAAAGGAGCCCCTTCCTCACTTCTAGACAACTTACATCTTATTAATTGAATTTGCAAAGCAAAATGAATTATAGCAAACTTGTATTGGTAACAATGTCTTCCCCTTAATTAAATCACAAATGAGTAATCGCTTTGAAGTTGAGTTGGCTGAACTGGGCAGCTATGCGATCGTCATGGTTAAATGTATTTTTTTTGGTTGTACCTACCAAATGCAGCACTTAATTTCACTTTTTAGAACCACTATGAAGCAAGACATCTATGCAAGCTTCAGACAAAAAGACTAGGTGCTTTAACATGGAATAAGGCTGCTATCTAGCGAGCTAACAAAACTACATGAACATGTAAATAAGTAAGGAGGGTGCAAATAGGCAAGGGGATGGAGGTGGGGAGGAAGGAATATGCACATCAGCTACATAGTGCCTAGTGACAGTAGTCTGTATCTCAATTTCTTGATTATTGGGGAGTTGGGGAAACGACAATTAAATGAGCTTACACTTTCAGCAAACCAGTCTGTGTTAGCTAACCTTAAAAATTAGAATGTATTTGTTGAGTCTTCATTAAAAAATCTTTCTGTGATATGTTAGGGTTTCAAATTTCCCCCTAGTATTAACATTGTACTCTTTATTTATGTATATATCAAATATTGGAGTGATAACCTCTACTATATCAGCTTATAATTTTGTATCCTTACTGAGGATTTCTTAAAGCTGCTCGCTAGGCTTATCTCAGATTTAACTGCTTCATGTGAAATTCTTATGTCTGTCTTGTTTCTTGTTTTCAGTGAATATTTGGCAATATTCAAGAAGACAGTTGCAATGCATGAAGTGTTTTTGTGTCGTGTGGCAGCGCATCCTATTTTGAGAAAGGATTTAAATTTCCATGTATTCTTGGAATATAATCAGGATGTGAGTATTGAAAACTGAATTGCTGGCAAGAGAAATCAATATGTGCTTTTGTGGTAGGATGGAAAATTGATTAAGAGGGCTTTACCTCCTGGAGCAAATTGCGTCAGTTCCTTCATACCAGACATATTTGTATTGTAAAAGTTAGAAATTCATGTAATCTGTAGGAGTTCATTTTGTTGCCACCTGGGGAACCAAACACGCTATGTGCTCTAGCCTCAGCATCAAAAATATTAATGGGAATCCAGTATGTTTTGGATTATAAAGATTATCTTTTGGTGTTGAATTTCACATGACGTTATACTTGTTTACTTTTTGACTGATTTTTTTTTTTTTGCACGGAACGATGATGCAACAAAGACAGAACACTAATTTTTAGGATTTGGAACCATGGTTTGAATTCTGTTGCTAACAAAACTAAGAGGGGATTTCTAATGAAGTGTTCTGATCAGTAAAACCTTTTTGTTAATAATGTAGGTGAAAATTTGCTTAGTTTTTGTCTAGCTATTGGACTAGTGTGGCTATTCCCATGTTGCATACTGAGTTGCTATCTAATTTTGAGTTAATGGAGAGGACTTTGTGGATTCAACACTCTTTGGTGTTGGAGTTAGTGGTTGCTCATATTCTGCAGACAGTTTAGTTGCTTTTTAAAATTGCAGAAATCAACATTGAATGTTGAAGAAATCATTCCAAATTCAGTAACTGAGCTCAACTGAGTACATGCTTAACTTCAAAATAAGTTACAGAGGATCCTCTTGTTGCTTGATGTAGAAGTGCTTCCTGGTTCAGAAACCTAAGCTGGGCAAATGTAGGTGGACAGGGAGAATGTGAGGAGGCTGAAACCAACATTATCCTTAGTGCAGTGAGGGGTAAATGCCTCTGTATTTCCTGAAAGTCAAAGATCTGCCGTTCTACACTTAAAAGCGCAAAGCCTGGTTATATTATGTTAACTCAACAGCTATGCTGTGCATGGTAAGTACTGTGTCATTGACGACTGAAATGTACACCTTGTACATTTGGCATTATCTGTAGGTGCTAGAATGTTACTGATTTTTGTTTTTTTCCTGAAATAGTATTTTAGGTGATAAAGAACAGTCTAGTAAATGAGGTACTCTGTCATTCTGGGTGCATGGTGCCCTGTCCCCATTAATGCAGAGTATAAGACTAAGCAGAGATCAGGAAAAATGGTTTAGGAGTAGCAAGCTGTGGTGTGTAGCTCTATTTTTTTTTTTAAAGCTTTTATTGTCTCTAGAAAATGAACTGACTTGGTACATTAATTTGTTTTTCAGTTGAGTGTTCGTGGGAAAAATAAGAAAGAGAAACTTGAAGACTTCTTTAAAAATATGGTTAAATCAGCAGATGGTGTCATTGTGTCAGGAGTAAAGGTGATTACTGCTTAACATATCAAGATTTAAAATCTATTAACATTGTTGTCCCCTTTTTTAATGAAGCAGAATTTTACATAGCTACAAAAAAAGGATTTTTGTAGCGATGTCTGACTTAAGAATTAGAGGCAGCACATGGGAATGAACCTGTGGCCCTGGATGCGAGATAACTGAGAGCTAGCTGATTGCTTCTGTGAAAGAAGGCTTTCAGTAGCCTTTCCCCTGCTTTATGAAATTAAGCATTTTTTAATCCATGGATAACTGATAATCTGATTTTTGTTCTGGCCTGTCATTTTATGTGGTAGGAAGGTGCATAGGCTTTGACAACTGCTGCAGCTCAGAAGTTGCTAAAGCAGTGTGAGTTTTACCAGCCTTGTAACATCCTTCGGCTGTTTCAAAGCTAAGAGCAGCAGTAGAGGTGATACTGTTTTTCCGAGTAGATGCAAGAATGTAATCGAGCAAAATAAAGGAAGAATTTTAATGAAAATTCAATTCCATTTTGACTTTTCCTAATGTTGAAAGATTGGTTTTATAACAAGCATGAAGTCTGTAGAAGATTATTTTGATCTCCTTTCTTTCTAGTGGTAACTTTCCATTTGCAAGCAAATTAGAGGACCTGAAGTTCCTAGTTGTAAAATTTTGAGTTTTGAAACTGCTGGGAAGTCGATATAACCATGGATTAATTATGACTTAGAGAAAAATACAAAGTCCAAGTAACCGTCAGTTTTCATAAGCACATTGTTCAAAGCCCATGTTGTAGGCAGTTCCATGGTATTGAGCATCTGTGTTATTTTAGAAGGGTTTGAAAAATAGAATAACCCGAGTATCTCAAATTATAATACAAAAAGTGTTAAAATTTACCTACATTTACCAACCTTAAAGAAATCTGTCATCAAGGTCAGCATTCCTGATCCAGTTCATATCATCTCTGCTGTGACCACAGCATCTGTGCAGCTGGGTTTCTTTATTCTCCCCTCCCCTTTTTCTAGGTAGATGTCCTTTTATTAAGTACTTGACATTTATTCTATTTTTTCTGTCACCAAAATGGTAGTTAGTAGTGAAATTACTTCCTTCACTTCAGAAGAATTTGTTGCAAATTCTTAATTCTTAATAAATCCTTAATAAAATGTCAGATCATGATAAGATAAATGAGTTTGGTGTGTTAGACAATAAAAATAGATTGCATTTTATGTCACAACAACAGCAATATATGCAATTGCTGTGCAATTGCTCTGTACAAAGTGAGTGAAATCCTTTTTTTTTTAAATTGTTCTTGTTTTTTGTAGGATGTGGATGATTTCTTTGAACATGAAAGAACATTCCTTGTAGAATATCACAACCGAGTCAAAGATGCCTCTACCAAATCTGATAAAATGACGAGATCACATAAAAGTGAGTTATTTTTCTGGAGTGGAAACAATACTAGCTGAACTGTACAGAAGTGGTTTGTGTGAAGTTTTTTAGTTTTCTTTTTGCATGCAAAAAGTGAATTGATTTATCCCAAGTGTAGTCTCCGAATAGTCTATAGAAGTTTAATCTGTGTTTCAAAGATTTCTGTGCTTTTGTTGTAATAGACTAGATGGAATAAGAACAGCCTGATGTGACACTGAAAGATAGCTTGATTCTTTATGCTGTCCCTTTGAAGAGAAGCACACTTTATGTAATAATACTTTTTTGAAGTCTGATTCTTAGTTTTTTAAAGTGTAAAGGTGGGTAGTATAACAGTATATGTGATTTTTACTCCTAATGAAGTTGCTCTTGATGGAATGAGCTTGCATTCATCAGATTGCAATTTCTTGGCACGCTAGGCATTGCATTACCTTGCTGAGTGGCAAACTCCTATTTGGGCCATTAGTTTTAGATGGGGAAGTCACGCTTCCTTTTTCAGTCTTTTAGAATGCAGACTGGAATGTGTGCATTCAGTAGCTTGTTTTTAAGAACCCCGTTTTCTTACTGAGATGAGACTTTCCACTTAGCTACTGATTTCTCTTATTGAGCTGAGTGCTAGCTAATGTGGTTTCTGGAAGCTCTAGATAGTCTTCTCAAGTGGAGTGCATTTATATGAGAAAATGGAAAGTCTTTGGTTTAAGAGTACTGTGTTTGGTTTAAGAGTACTGTGTTTTGAGAAGCACAGAAAAAAGTTGACCTTTATTGCCCTTGTTTTAAGTTTTTGTGCCTAGATACATCAAAATTGAACTACTAGATTTTATCTACTTTGAAGTTTGAATGATTCACAGATCCCGTCTTTGCTATCTACAGTAATACAGTTCACACAAAACCGGGCCACAAACCTCTTATGCATCTCCATTGGTTAAGGACTCTAAAGTGGATATTGAATGAGACATTAAACCAAGAATTTACTGAGCTCTTCAGATGCTTCTCTTCCCATTGAAGACTGAGTCTTTTGTAGCTTTAGTATCTATGCTAGGAGATGGGGAGAATGAGTTATGGCTTAATGAAGTACTAAGGGACCCTGTGTCTTCATTCAGTTCCCACCTGAAGTGGTTTCTGGTGTTTCGTTTGCTTTCTTAAAATGAAAACTGAACTTTATTCATGGTAGTTAAGTGCCAGACTTTAGATATTGAGACAGCCTTTCATGTTTTGTAGAACCAGGAAAATGGTTAGACATAGGATTGTAGAGGATCTGATGGGAAAGGATTGATCAAACTCATGACAAAGCTTCACTGGTTTTCAGACTCAGATCATGTAGGGTATTTATTGACAACTTTTATCAAATTGCGAATTGGGACAAATAGCACCTTTTGAAATTCTGGCTAGAGTGGTAAAGCAATGACCTGGGAAGCCTGTTCTGGAAATTGGCAGTCTGTAGTTTATGGGTAATTTATGGTCAACAGAGAACTGCAGGACTTGCAAAGATACCGACTTTCTATTTCCAGCAGAAAATCTGTTCTTGTGGTTAAATGGAAGGAATAGAAGGGGAAGTTAATGGCTTCCCTAATATCTTTCTTCACTGTAACCAACTGCACTGATTCCCTTGGCATGTATGTAGTAATGAATTGAGTGGAAGGTGACCCACTCAATCTGTTGAAACAAGGTTGTGTTATTTAAAAAAAGGTAATTCTGCTTAAAGGCATATCAACTTTGAAAATAACAAACGAATATATTTTCTTGTTCATTGCTTGGGTCTGTTAGCATTTTCATCATCTATTGAGTTTATACTAAAAACTCTCTAAAAAAGCCATCTGTGCAAAGACTTGATTTTTGTGGTTACTTATCTAGCAATACCTCACTAGTCAAATTATGCAGCTTTCTTTACAAGCCCTGCTTCTAATTTAATTGTTTGAAATGCTTTAACGCTAATGCTACTTCAACCAGTGACCACTTGCCGATGAGGTGAGGGTTTCCTGAAAATTAGGCCTGCACTGGAAAAGATGGTGTGCATATAGCACTGTATTTTGGTAGTTCAGATTTTGTATTCAGTTTACTATTCTGAAGTGCACAGACTTACTCTTTCATATTGTTAGACTGTGATTTTTTTCAACAGCTTTAGAGTTTAGATTCAGATTTAAATACAGACCTTAGCCAGTGAGTTTGTACATCTTCCACCAAAATAAAACCTAACAAAGTTGCACAATAAATTTACCCAGCAGGTGCTAGTTTTGTTATGTATCCATAGATATTACAGACTTAATGATTTGGTGAGAGCACTATGTTTGTTGTATGAAGTTATCCTTCATAATAAGTGACATGATTGAAATTTTATTTCTGCTTTTATGTTAAAGCATGTTCCTTTTAGAAAAATGTCCCCTCTTGAAGAAGGAGAGGAACTTCAAATTTTTCAGAAAGAAGTGGAATGAAATAGTAAAACAAGTGCTTGTTTGTTTTTCTAGATGTTGCGGATGACTATAATAGAATTGGTTCTTCATTATATGCATTAGGAACGCAGGACTCCACAGACATATGCAAGTAAGATATTGTTAATAACTTAGGGGGGAATATGCTAAGTAGCAGTCTTAATGGTGGCCTGCTGAGATCAGTAGCTCTCTTGTTATGAGAAAACCAGAATTTATTACAGTTATATCCCATTGAGAGATTTTCTTCCCTAGTATTTAATTTCTGTAACAGGCTGCTTTAATGTTTTTGCTTTAATATTTGTCTGGAAAAAAATTCTGTTTTCTGCACTTTGGTAGGAAATTACACAGATGAGATGGCAAAGTCCTCATAGAATAAGAAAACCCCCCCAACTCTTTCACTAGGTTTTCTTTTGTTTTAAGTGCTTTGACATGTGCAGCAAGAACAGGTCTCAGTCTGAGTATACTGATTTTTGTGGGTGTTCCCTGTACCAACATCTTGAAAAATAGCTTTGCTGTTCTGGCAGTTTTACTGCCTTCAGGAAAATAAAGGAATTTACAGAGATCCCTAAAACTTGGAAAATAGAAGAGGGTCTCTATGTACAGGTGTTTGTCCTTTAATCTTTCAGTGATTTGCCTGAATAGAAAGTTTGGTGTATCTGAAAGTAAAAGTTAACTAGCTTAAAGATGTTGATAGTTGTGAACATGTACACTTATTAGTGTGATGACAGCTAGGGGATTAGTATCAAAGTTAACTTATTTTTGTTAATTTACCTGAATTACAGTGATATACTTCCAAATGCAGTGATAGTTTACATATCAATTACTTTGATTATTGCACTGAGATTTGATGTAGTCTGTTAGGGTCAGTCAGGAATCCTATCTGTCTTCTGTCAAAATAGTATGAATTGACTGTAATTCAGTCTGCTGTTCCACTGAACCCTTGTATTGTCTCCTGTGATGAAGATGTGCCACATTGTTGCTCCATCTCCCTGAATTCTAAGTAGGTCATGTATCATGTTTACTGTGTGAAGAAAAGTGCATACAAATGTGAGTGAAGGGCGCTTGGTAGTAGCATGGGACCATTAATCAGAGTGGTGATGTTTGGGGTTTAATTCACAGAAGCATAAAGAATCCCTGAGGATCTGTGCAATTATTCTTTAGTAAAAAATATCAATCCATTATGCTTTTTGTCCCTTACCTTATCCTAAGTTGTACAACTCCCAGATGTTTGAAGTGCTAAAATTATATTCTCCGCATTCTACAAATTACCATTCTAAACAGTACCTTTACAGCTTTTATGGCCAGACACAGATTATATTTTGAGTTCTAGAAAGTAATTAGGCTGTTCAAATTAATATTGTAATGTAAGCTGTTTTCTTTGTGCAGGTTTTTTCTGAAGGTATCAGAATTATTTGACAAAACAAGGGTATGTACAGTGAAACGTTCTTAGACATATTCTTCGTGTACATCTGGAAGCAGCAGAACATCTTGTGTCAATTAGACATTAATAAGTAGATGTTTTATGGATGTTCTTATATGAAGCATTTAAGCAATGTGTGGTAGGGAGTGGAAAAGCATAAGATTTAAGTCATCTGGTCTGTAAAATGATTGATCCTTAGGAGTCTTCAGTCTACAAAACATTTCTAGGCAGTCTTCCTGTCTTCTGTGTAATGCACTAGTAAAGCTGCTGTTCCTCTCAAATGCTCAGAGGTTCTCCATACTTGTCACTCGGTATGACAGAACTTGCTACAGAAATAAGAAATGTAATCCTTAATCCAAAAAATGGTGGTCATGCTGCTTTTTTGGTTTTTTTCTGGTGCCAAGATCTGTTTCTGCAATTATTTGACTCAGAAGTACTATTGCCGATGCTTCTAACCAGATTTTCAAATATCTTGTCTCTTTTGCCGTATTTGTTTGTCTTGGTAAAGCAGAAGATGCATGCTGTGTGTGTCAGGAAAACTTTTGAATGAAAAATGTGTGTATTTTTGAAACAGACACAGTTGTATCTGCATAAATAAGTACTTTAAAGAAAATGAAATTTTTTAGGTGCTTTGACCTAAGGCGTTGAGTTTTAGATTTTTTTTTTTAATTAAGATTTAAAAAATTGACTTGCAGGCTCTGTTTCTAAATTCACAGAAATGTCAATTTTTAAATGCAAGCAAATAATTTTATAGGGATTTTAGACCATTTAATACATGCAGTTGCACAACTATTCTGGAAAGGTGCCTTAAAAATTTGTTTTCCTTTGATCTCAAAAACAACACAAAATTTCTTGTGCAACTCTTTATACTAGATAACGTTTTGTTTCTCTGCTGTTTTTCTAGTATATGATTCCCAATTGAAATTGGGAAGAAAGAATTGTTTAGAATAGAAAGCTAGTTGTCAATTACTACTCACACAGTAGGTTATTGCTTACATTTTAATATAAAATCATAATATTGCTTCTCATGATGCGTCTAAGTATTCTGACACAAATGCATGACCTTAGTTTTTGAAGAGGACGATCTGTCATGTGCTATTGTATCTTTTATGTTGTATTTACATCATAAAAGTGAATACCTAAAGTCTGTATGTTTTTAAATTGATGCTTTTATTTACTGTTTTTCCAGAAAATAGAGGCTCGGGTATCTGCCGATGAAGATCTTAAACTTTCTGATCTTCTGAAATATTACCTAAGGGAATCTCAAGCTGCTAAGGTGAATTTATGTTTTTTTGTTCAGTGTAATAGTGTTTCTTTAAAAAAAAAAAAGAGAGAGAGACAAGGGATCATCTTGAGAAATAACACAGTAGATAGGTTAAAATGCTGCTACCTCTAGCTTGCAATTTCTCACTCAACTATAAAACCTGGATCTCAGTTGTATATAAGGAGTAACAAACCAGTTGCTGACTGTGTGGCTAGGTATTTGGAACTGTGTGATCCACTTATCGAGGCCAGATCATGCAGTAGAATTAAAAACAGTGTAAGAGCTGTTTGTGAATTGTTCCACATGTTTGCAATGTGTTTGCTGCTTGTAGACTGCAAGCAATTCTACTTTTTTGTTAATATTAAAAATGGATACTCCAGATGGTCTTCCAGGTGCTGATACAAAAACATATGGGCCAAGTTTGATATTCTATACCTACAGAAAATGCTATTCTTTGTGTTGCTTGGTGTAAGATGATTAAGTAACATGACAGAAGGTGGAAGCATTTGAGAAAAAATATTTGTAGTTAGAAGATCCCAGCAATAACTCTTGCACAAAAAATGCTACTGCTGTTTTTGGGCCCTGTGTGAATTTAAAAACCATAATCTAAATATAGTTTGTTTTTAATTGAAGAAGCTGTGAAATTTCCCATAATTGCCCCTTCTTGGGCTTTTTGGAGTATCATCTAAGCCATCTGGTGCTAGCCTCTGTCAGACAAGATGCAGACCAAACAATTTTAAATTGCATGTCTGATCCAGGATGGACATTTCTGTGTCTTGCAGGATGAAGTAAAGGGAACGCAAATAGTTGAGTAAGAAGTGAAATACAGCAAGAAAGACTAAAATGAATCTGATTTTTTTTTTTACTTCGTATATACTAAAATCCTTGAGTAGATTCTTGTAACTCTATACATGATTTATACTTTTTTAATAGGATCTCCTATATAGAAGATCTAGGTCACTAGTGGATTATGAAAATGCTAATAAGGCATTGGATAAAGCGAGAGCAAAAAATAAAGATGTGCTGCAAGCTGAAACTACTCAGCAAATATGCTGTCAGAAATTTGAGAAAATATCTGAATCGGCAAAACAAGGTATTTGGGTGGTTTTTGATCCTACATTTCTAGTTGAAAATTATCAGATTTTAGGATAGTATTAATAAGAATAGGTTTTTGTTCTGTTTCCGAAGCAGAACTATAATCTTTTAGTCAGTATTTACTTATTTTAGAAAGTTCAAATGGTATTTTCCTTTGGCTCCTCATAGCTCCATTAGGCAGAGCAAAGTCTAGGTGCAAATTATTTGTTAACCAGTTCTTTTTTACAAATAAGATAGGCTACAAAATGATAATTGCTAGCAGTGAATGCAAACCTAATCTTTTAAAGTATTATTGAAATTCCCCTCTTTGTTTTATGCATTCTTCTGTGAAGGCAGCAGTATGTTGCAGAGATGATACTACATTAGAAAAGGGGAGGATCATGAAATGAGATTTCATTGAAGTTCCAGAGTTACAGTAGCTCTAGAGAAAAGTCACCTTATTTACATTTTGCCTTTTTCCTGGAAACTTAGTCTTTTTTTTAGGCTAAGATTGTTGTGAATTAGTAGTCATCTGACTCATTATTTGGGGCAGATTTGTTCAAGTTTAAACACGATACTCTTCTGTTTTTATCATTTAAGAGTAGTTTGACCCTGTAAATCTGGCAACTGATTCCTATAAGTGAGACAGTGGAGAATGAGTGATCCTATTAGCCACAAAGGTATATGCATAAAGCATACTTGCTTCCCCTGTTCTTCATGCTAGTTTTAGTCTAGTATTTTCCCTAAAGAATTTCACATATCAGCCTTGAAAGAACAGTGTACAGGGAATAAGAGAATTAAATGTTTAAAAGCATCCACATTGCAGTCTTTTTTTTCAAAAGAGTTTTGTGTCCACAGAAGGTTAGCTAGAGGGAAGGAACTGCAGTGATGGTTTGCTTTCATCCAGCAGTGTAGCAGTTATCTCTTGAGCCTAGAATGTGCTGAGATTAAACTTGAGTTTTTTCCTGTTGCCTTCTCTCACTCTTAACCTCTTCCATCCTGAAGGCAAGTCTGTTAACAGTTGAGGGGGCACTAGCAATAATACTGTTAATGAGTCTTATTTATTTTCTATAGAACTGATAGACTTTAAGACAAGAAGAGTTGCAGCATTCAGAAAAAATCTGGTGGAACTAGCAGAACTGGAATTAAAGCATGCTAAGGTAATTGTGATCCTTTTTGTCCTGTATTTCAACTGATTTTAAATATTTTATGCTTGAATAAGTGAAATGGCCATGTTTATTGTGTGATATGCACTTCACATTCAGGAAGGGGAATTTGAAGGTAAGCATCATCCAGAAAGGTGAACTTTCTTGAATAATAGAGGAAGAAAAAAAGTATATGTGAAAATACCTCTGAGGGACTGGTTTGCTTGAGGTGCCTTTGGAAAACTCATCTCCTTGAAGACAATTTTGGCTTCAGTTTTATGTTTCTCTAGGTGTTTGATATTTATAGCTGCAGAGTTTGAATACCTGCCTATTTTTAAAACCTCATCTCACCATTTTACTGAGAGATAGGAAATGGTTTCTTCTGTTACCCAGATGTTGGGGACTTGATGTATAGGACAGGCTAACTATTAAGCATGAGATCACACAGGCCTGTCTGAAGTCAGATCAGTGTTACTCTGTGTATGCTTTTTGAATCTTTTTGCCTTTGAACCATGGAGTGCTAACAAAAGAGGAATGTTGCAGATAGCCTTTTCAGTAAAATACATTTTTGGAGGAAGAAAATTGTAAGGGGCCTGTACTGTCCCTAAGTTTCACAATGTATTCAGTTCTTTTACTCTGTATGAAGTTAATGTTTTTGGTTAAATCAGGTTAGCTGCTGTGATTTCCCAGTCAAGTACAACAGTCTCTTTCTTTAACAGTCCTATAGCAAGAGGCAGCTTTATTTTAAAGTCAGCTTTTTAGCACTTCTCATCACAAGTCTAAAAGTGTGCTGGCTACCAAGCTTTGAATTAACTGGGAATATATCTGCTGAAAGGACTAGCTAAGAGGTGTATAGTGTTGCTGAATTAACTCATTGCCGCTTTACCCTCTTTTCAGTAGCGTTGATGGTTCATTCTTCATTTTGCCAAATCCACTGTTTGTAAAACTTATGCACTGTAAAAAGGGTTGTTTTGTTTTGTTTCAGTCTTTGTAGATGCAAGTTCAGCTTGATGGGATTTTTAGCTGGTAAAGTCATCAGTAAGGTCTGGAATATTCAACTTTTTAAGATGAACAGTGCTTACTTTAATGTGCTGTATCACAAATTCAGTTATATTTCCCCTAATGTCTTAAAGTTCATAATACTTGGCACTATTCAGCCTTCCTACTTCTCTGTGTGTAACAGCTGTCTATATCCAGCCCTGAGTCTCCCAGAAATCCCTGTGTTTGGTCATGAATGTACTTGTTACAGGTTTTAGTGAAATTAATAGTCTTAACAGTCATACTTGCAACAGTTTTTATTGATTTGCCATATCCTGCTTTAATAAGGTAATTAATCCACAGCACTTCTGTCCTGCTTCAGTCATGGACTTCATCATCTCTTGTGACTGACCTTGCTGAAGTCCCCCCATGCCTTGGAGTGGAATGCTTAAAAAATGTCTCAATCTTCTAAAGTAACCTTAAAGAATCACTTGTATTCACTCTCTGTGCAGGTCAATATTGTAGTAATATTATCTTCAATTTTGACAGCTAGTAACTGCCGCAGGAGGAAAATGCTTAATTTCCATAGCTTTCAACTTCCTTGATATGTGCTTCTTGGTGTCATCAGTTTACCTGGAAGAGCTTGAAATTTTTTTAGCAGTTCCTCATTTGTCACTACAGCCTGTGTTTAAGATATAGTTCTTCAGATAGTCTGTGTCACTCTGACTTACCTTGTTTTAGTAAATTTACTAACAAGGAGTGTATAAGTCTGTAACAGAAGCTTTGAACTGTAGTTCTGTTTTTGAAGGTGAACTTTTTTTTTGCTGATCCTTTTCACCTACTTTATCGTGAAGCACTGTAAGATTCACTAGATAGTTTTGAGTATTTAAAGTTTTTCAATTTAAAAGATCATTTTGACTAAGGGTGACAGTTCTTGAAATGTTAACAAATGACTTGTTGAATGAAAGGGCATTTTGTTTCTCACTAGATTTGAAAGTTCTGTTTTTTCAAAGCCTGTGTTTCATATTTATTCAAAACAAGCTACGGCCCATGGATCAGTTTGGTTGCTGTGTTTTTATTTCTGTAGATTCTGAGTTGGATTGTTACAGAATTTACAAGTGCATTAGATAATATTTTTCAATTTTATATAATGGAAAATTTTCTTATTAATGCTATGACCAGCATATTTGAGGATAGTCTTACGGCTAGGCTTTTACTAGTCTGTACAGAGTATTGAAGGATGAAATGGGTTGGTAGAGACTTTCTGAAGAAGTTCCATGGAAGGAAGAAAGAAGATATGAAAAGACTTGGGTTTTTTTTTTTTTTTTTTGAGATAACATTGTGCCCTGGTATTTGAAGGTTTCTTCTTGTCCTGGGGAGGATGTTTTTATACTTGTTGCAATGCAAATCATGAACAATGCTCCCATTTCACAGAGGCTAAGTAGCCCTGGTTTTGGCTGGGCTAAGCTAGGGTATTTGTAGGCACCTCTTGCGGTAGAGCCAAAGCGGGCTCATAGAAGCAAAAAAAAAAAAACACCCTACTTTTTCATGCAGGCAATAAATTAATGAAGTTGGATCAAAAGCCTCTTGCTTTAAGGTTCTGGACAAAATACTTTGCCTGATGCTGCGACAGTTCCTGTCTTCGTGCTTTTGCAGCTACTGGAGGCAGGTGAAGTTTTAGCAGCGCCAAATTGGAAATTGCTTGCCTCTCAATGGCATGTGGTACACAGCACTGCCAAACTTTGCAACGTGACCTGTTATTCATGTCTAAGTGCTCTTTCCAGCAAAAAAGCTAACTGGGGTATGGGGGCTGGGGGCGACAAATAACACTGCTACAGGCTTTTGCTACAAGTCTGCTGTTGTGGGTTTTTTTGGTTTGTGGTTTTTTTGTTTGTTTTTTTGTTTGTTTGTTTCCGGAACTACCACCTTCAGCCTAGATGTTATACAGATGCATCTGTCTCTGAATTGGTCTAGCCATGTGCTTCTGGACTTGGAGTTGCCTGGCACAGAAAGCATGGAAGTGAAATCTGATGTATCAGTGGGTGCTGGAACTCACCTGTGAGACTTTCTTTGGGAGTTCACCCACAGTGAAGGCTGCTGCATGACTTACTGTTATTTGCTCTGTGCAGAAAGAGAAGCACAAATCCCAAAACACAGGTCACTGCACTGAAGAAGTCAGAATGACTGAAGTATCAAGAGAAGGTTCTGAGACACAGCTTGCATTTCGTGAGGTATATCTGGCTGTGTGGCTCTAGAAGGCTGGAGAGTGATAAGGAGACCAAGCTTTTAGTAAATCAAGGACACTGTATATACAAATACTAAGTGCACCTTCTCTGCCCAGTTATGTTTATACAGCTTCCTTATAAAATACTTGTTTTGTTTTAATCTGCTAATATGCTGTTACCCTTTCCTGATTACAGCCCAAGACTTTTGAAAAAGCTAAAAATCAGGCTGTGGGTTGTGATTGCTTAAGTTGATTCAAGTGCAGACTACTGCCAGGAAGGATGATGATGCATGACTCTGTTCCTTTCCCTTATGTTGGCAGTATTCTGTGTGCAGCTGCATAGTAAGAGGGAGCTGAAAGTTGCTCTGGGCAACTTTACTTTCAGTCTTGTTTTCACAGCATCCGTTGTGTCAAAACACACAGTTTTGGCTGGGAGGGCCTGGGAACAGGAGAGAGCTGTCTTCTTATCAGCAGCACATTCCCTAGATTTACTTAAAATAGCTGCCAAACAGCAGCTTTGATTCTGCTTGGTCTCTGACCTATACAAAACAGATTGATGTTTCTTTTTCTATGGCCATTCTGTCTATCGCTCTAGGTAGTGTTTAGCTTCTGTTTTGCTAGCTCTGCGTTTTGTCATGACTTCATGCAGCTGTAGCTAATGTTAAGACCTGATTAAGTGTCTGGGCACAAGCTGCATTTAAACCTATTCAGTATTTTAAGCAGTTGGATTTTGCGGTGTTCCTGTGTTGGACTTCATGCTCAAGAAAGGAGGTTTGATAGCTGGTGAAAATGATAAGGTTATAATCATATACTTAAGGCATTTATAGCCTTGACAATACTTCTAGAGTCTTTTAACGTATGAATTGTAACTGAATAAGATAGCCACTTCCTTCAATTAAAAAAATAAAAAAAACCTAAGCATCTCTTTCCACAAATACTCATATATATGCTCTTGCCTCTATGGGGTTTTGTGGAAAAAGAATTTGTTGCACTACTAGCAACAGATGTCTGTTTGGAACTGGCAGAAGGGAGTCAGCAAAATCCAGTGCTAAGGGATTTGGTTAAATGCTTTGTCAGTAATTCTTTCTTTCCTGAAAAGGATGTTTCTGTCACCGTGGTTCTGCCAGTAACTGTAATATTTAGAGTTTAGGAGGCTGAGTTGGCAAGAAACACTTTTCTGAATCTGAATTTATAGGACTTTCTTGAACTATGCTGATATAAGTCAAGTAGGTCAGATGTTGCAGACAGAGTAACGGCTTACAGCCTCTTGTTCTTGATTTATTGTAATTTAAATAAGGTTGTTCTTGAGAACTTTGTAAATTTGATCTAATGAAAATGAATGATTTGTCTATTTGGAAAATGTCATTATGCTGGCTGGCTGAGTCTGGAAATGACTGATGTGTAAAGGGCGTCTTGGTACTGTCTTGTCTTTAGAAGGCTACATGGTGGCCTGTGAATTGCAAATATACTTCATGCTGCTGATGGGCTGTAAGAAGATGGCCAAAAGGTTACTGTGACACTTTTGTTATAGCTAACATGCATGCAGTTCACAATTATACTTCAGGCTGAAGTATTGTGTTTCAAGACTGAAGACTTCAGAGTGAAGTATTCCTTTTCATTCATGACTTCATTACAGCTAATAATTAGCTGCTGAATAACAGAGACCTTAGATTTATGAATCTTGTACACTACAAAGATGGGCCACCAAGTCCCCAGGCATCTCCTGTATATTGAACTTGTTCATATCACTGGATTACAAGCTTTTTAAATAGCTTGTGTCTGTCCTCTGCCAGTATAGGCATTGTGATGGGTTTGCCCTTGGCTGGGGGCCAAACC